TCGATCCTGATCATACACGTGGCAATTAATATTGATCGTTATAAGATCTGAGTAGTAGCGGATCAACGAAGAGACGTACAGTGACGTGGCTTCAACGGTTGCTCACATTCAAATTCGAATATAAGGGGGAAGCCTAACTGCAAGTGAAGGCGTAGTGGAGCTACTTATAAGGTAGCATGATCAGCGATTACGGAGGAGCAGTTCGACGGTTTGAAGTACAATTCGATGGTTATCTTCGGAAAGTATAAATAGCAGAAAGGACTTCAGAGAAAGGGGGAGGGCAACGATCTAAAGAATTACTTTACATATTCTAGTGTTATGTCCTGTCCTTTATATTTTTGTACTTTAAGTTTCTGCGCTGCACTTCATTTGTAGGAGTAGTTTTCGAAGTATATTGCCGCTGTAATTCTCTACGGAACTAAGATCATTGTAAGTTTTTTCATACTAATGAAATGCTTCAGTTTATTTAACTGTTCTTATGCTCAAGTTCTTTGAAGTCAAATTACTAGTAAGCCACCAGTAAAAGTCCTCTTTAGTGAGGCCGAAAGAACTATAACCCAATCGTCTGAATAATTGTTTGGCAATTATAATTCTGTAAGGACTGATTGATCCTTGCTGGCACGCTAATAATTACAGAAGTAACCTTCGAAAGCCAAAAAGCCAACAGAACTACTAAAGTAGCAGCTCTAAATCTGCATTAATGATGTGGCATTGTTATGGTCTTACCTTGATGTGATGGTTTGGCTTTTTTTTTTTTTTGCACTGCCAGCTCTAATGAGCTGGCATTAGTGTTCCTAAATTAGTAGGTCTGTATTACCACTGCCAAATTAGTCACAATTTTTCAAAAATTTTCAATTTCAACTTGTCCATCTTGTCCTTTTTTTTTTCTTTTTCTTTTTCTTTTTCTTTTTTATATAAAATATGACGTAATTCTACGTTTGCTAGCCAAAAATAACATTTCAACTTTGGACATTAATCACCTTTTTTTCCATTACACTTTTGTCAATTTCACCTTTCTAAATTGCACCTAAAATATTCTAAATTGCACCTAAAATAAAAACCTACTCTAAAAACACGTTTTCTAGCTCTTCAAGACTCAACCTAACAGCATCTCCATTAAAATTAATTAAATTTATGTTATATTTTATTAATTTTTTATTTTAATTGTACACTGTTTTTAACATCCTCCTCAACAAACTATCTATTTTTTTTCTATAACATTTAAATATTAACTTTTTATTTTAACTTAGAATTATTTTTTGTAAGTTCAACCCAACTAACTTCCAAACAATAAAAGTAATATTTTTTTTAATATTTAATTAGCTAAAATCAGCAGATACATTTGCTGCCTCAAATCACAAAATCTAATTTAGGGTTGGTTTGGGGTGTCCTAAAAAAATGTACTTTTTGTCTTTTTACGAAAAGATATGCAGAAAAGTAGAGAGATGATGTGATAGAAAAAAGTTAAAAAGATGGATTATATAGGTTATACCAAACCAAGCCTTAATAAAATTAAAATTTAATGGTTTACTCACTATTTTAACTAAAAATGAAAGAGAAAATTACAAATATATATATATATATATATAAGGTATAACTATTGTAGCAAAATAAAGTCTGAATTTTTAATTTTATTAATTTAAACTCTAATCTTTTAATTTATTTTAAAAAAAAGTTATCTATCTATTTTTATTAAGTAAAACTAATAAAAAAAGTATTTTAGTCAATACGCTAAACAAAAAAGAGTATTTAAGACATTTTATGTACATCTATATTGAGTTTAATGACTAAAATATACATTTTTTTTGTCAGTTTTACTTGATAAAAATAGACTATGGTTTAGATTGAATACAAATCAAAAGATTAAGATTTAAATTAATAAAATTAAAAATTAAAAAATTATTTTATTACAAAAATCAAATTTTGATTTTTTTTTTAATCTTTTTTTTTATATAATTTTTCCAAAACCAAAATAACCTAATGTGATAGAGATGTTCCCTGTTTGGGAATAAGGTTTTGGGCTAAAATAGATAATAAAGACAAAATGAACTAAAATAGATGATAAGACAAAATATTACATCTAAATTATAATCATTTCACTTTTTTTTTTCTTTTTTTTTTCACAATCATAAAATCAACTATAAGAAAATTAAAAAAAGCTAATTATCTTTCCAAACATAACTTTTTTAACTAAGGCCAAGTTTGGCATATTGCAAAAAAGTCAAAAAGTTACTCAAAAAGTTAAAAAGTTAACACTATTCACCAAAAGTCAACAATTACGGCTGCACAACTCCCAATCCTAATTTTTCTCTACAAATCAATTTTTACAATTTTTTATTACATATTTTTTTATAAAAAGTCAAAAAGTTAACCTAAACATCCATATTTTCTTCCTCAATTTTTTAGTCCAAAAAGACAAAAAGTGCACTTATTTAGGACACCCCAAACAACTCCTAAGTTAAAATAATCAAAAATTCAAAAGCCAACTAAAATAGCTAACTTCCCAAACCAACTCAAAAGGGTGTCGTTTGTGGGAAAATTATTGTTTGCTCCTAGGGCAAATTGATGTGGTGCTACAACTTATTTGTTATTGGTTGAATCAATGAGACTCACCATCTTTTTGTCCCTTTTTAGAAGATAATGGAACATTTGTTCCGAATGGTATGGAACAATACTTCAAGACCAACCAATAATTTCTCGTCATTTGTGTATTGAAATAAGTTTTAAACATTGCATCTGTTAGACTATCTCCAATCATTTATTAAATCTTTCATCAAATTTAAATTTGATGAAAAACTAATGAAAACCGTGCTCTAATAGTTTCACCAGTTTGGTATTAAATGAAGAAAGTAGTACTTTTTTCATCAAATGAATGGAGGGTTTATCCTTATATCAAATTTGTAGTTAACTATTGGATCGAACGTCCACTCAGACGTCCTCGCGGATATCCTCCCGAGTAATTAGTTTTGGAATGAATTTGATGAAAATTTACTCTTGATAGACAATCGGCCGAATGACCGACCGACCAGATTTGATGAAAGGGTTAAAGTGCATTGTATCAAATCAAATTTTCATTCAAAATTAATGAAATATCTAATGAATGATTGGATATACTTTTACAAGAATATATTTGATTTGATGTAGAGAACAAAAAATAATTTGGCGTTATGTGTACAAACCATTTGTTTAATTTAGAGTTTGTTTAACATCCTCTAAATAAGTATATTTATTTAAATATGTAGATTTATTTAGATTATATCATTACTCTATTTTATAAAAAATATAAAAACAAACGTATTTAAATTATTTCAAATAACGAATAATCACACAGAAATGTTTCAAACATTTCATAGGAGCCTTTCGTTTGTACACATGGGTGTGAGACTAGTCTTGATTGATGATGATGCTTTTCTGGACCAGGCAAGATCTTGCGTCACCTCTTAAAGAGACAAAATTATTAGATAATGTTTAAATATTGTACTATAATCTACTAATTTATTAAAAAAATAATAAATTATAGATACATCTTTTGAGTTTTGATTCAAATACAAATCACTCTTTTTGATTTTAAAAATTACATTTCACTTATGAGATTTCTAATTTCATAAGAAATTATTATTTTTATTAATAAATCATCAAGTTAATTAACAGTTTTTAACGATTTTAAAATATGTTTCAATTAATAATTTAAGTAATTTTATTATTATATAAAAGAATAATTATAAATTTTATTTTTTTACTTAATTGTATTAAATAAAAATTTTGACAAGGGGATATTTGTAATTTTCTAAATCACAGGGGGCTATTTGTATTTTAAACAAATCTCAAGAGATGTATTTGTAATTTATCCTAAAAAATTTATGGGTTTGAATTCTCTTGAATTGATCATTTTTATTTGAGAGAGTATTTGAAATTAGTAGATCCATTTTGAAGTCAATCTCGATAATTTAAATTGTTCAATTTTTAAAATTCATTGAGTAAAATGTTCATATAAAAAAATTAATATTGTTAGATATCAATAACTATATATTTAAATCATATCTGTAGTTCTAAAAAGTAAACGGTTTAAATTATCGAGTTCGGCCATAAAATGAACTCCCTAAACTCAAATGCTTTCTCCAATTGGATGGCCAACTTCAAATAATCCAATCTCATATTTTATAACACACTTTAAAATGGGGTGTGTACCATATGCCTAAATATAACATTTGTGATATACACTCTAATTAGGTGTTTTTTTTTTTAAAAAATAAATAAATAAAATAAAAATAAAGGTGAACTAGCATGTTTAAGTGTTCAACAATCACAGTTGGATCATTGTCTAAGGCATTCAATTTTTATTTTTATTTTTTTATTTTTTATTTTTAAAGTTGTATTGAATGCCTCAAATCTTCAAAAATCCACTAGGATAAGATTTCATTTAAATAGTCTAAGATCTCCTGTAACATTGAGTTGCTATGGTCCACTCATAGATTTTTTTTTTTTTTTTTTTTTTTTAACTACAACAATGTTATATGATTTTTTAAAAATATGTATAGATAATGTCATATGGTGTTTTGAAATTACTAAATAAAATAACGGCAATGATTGGTGGCTCAAAATTCTGTGGCTCAAATGGCCTGAAAATGCCAAAATAACGTCGTTTTGGATACAAAACAACTCTGAAAATGTCAAAACAACGTCGTTTTGACATTTTCGGACCATTTGAGCCACATAATTTGTGGCCACCAAACATTTTTCATAAAATAAATTATACTTAGTATTTTTTATTTGAAATGTAAAAGATTGACGGTTACAATTAAATGCGAAGGAACTAAAATGATATTTTGATAAAAAAAATCTAAAGATACCAGGTGTAATTTACCCTACTAAATAATTAGCCAACAAAGAGAGAGAGTGATATTTTAGTGCTCCTACTAGAAAAATGACAGAATTTGACATCTGGCTTCTATTATATAAAGCTTCAATACCAAGCCCTTTTCTTTAATTAGCACAAAACCATAACAAATTCTATTAGAGAGAGAGAGAGAGAGAGAGAGAGAGAATTCTCAGAGGAAAAACCATGGAAAACACAGAGAAAGAAATTACAAGTGATGAGCCTAAGTACAGAGGACTTAAAGCCATGCCCTTTGTTATAGGTAATTTACAAAGTAGAGATGCATACACATTTCAGGCACAAGTCACATGCATGGTTCTTTATTCCAAATTTATCAGTCTCTTTGTTTCAAAATATCCACAGTTTACTCATCTCTTGAGATTCTTGCATAATTACACACAGTATTTTATGAGCAAAAAAATAAAAATAAAAATAAAAATTACAGGCAAAAGATGTCTGGCCTACTACATGCATGTGTGCTTGCAACTTGCACACATACTTCGGAGAAGAGAGGAGCTCCTCCTTTCACCAGGGATGCTTTGTATTCATTTTCTCTGTCTTTCTGTTTCAAAACATATTTATCCAACATAATAATCCACTTTACACTGTGTATGTTTGGTTGGGAGATTTAGGAAGAGATTTGAAAAGAGAAAGGGAAAGGTAAAGAGAAAAAATGTGTAAAGTTATATGACATATAAATATGTTTTATTCACATTTTATCTATTTTTTCTCTTTTTCTTTTTAAATCCCTCCTCAAATTCCCAACTAAACACAACATTAAATTTCATTTCATAATTGAGAGGTGATTTAGAAAGGAGATGGAAACATCAAGTTTTTCTTTCCTTTTTTTTTTCTTTTTTTTTTTTAATCTTTTTATATTTTTCTTTAATTTTTGATGACCACCCATTAAAAATAATAATAATAATAATAATTGCAGGAAATGAGACATTTGAGAAGCTGGGAACACTAGGGACATCATCGAATCTGTTGGTGTACCTGACAACAGTGTTCAACATGGACACAATTACATCAACTAATCTGATCAACATCTTCAATGGAACTTGCAACTTTGGAACCCTCCTTGGAGCTTTCCTCTCTGATACATACTTTGGCCGTTACAAAACTCTGGGATTTGCTTCTATCTCCTCCTTCTTGGTAATTAATGCTCTATCCCTTTCAATCCCAATCTTTCTTTTCTCCGTATGCAAAACACACCTATTAAATCTAATGTAAAAATAAGTATTGAACTTGTGTCCAAGGATGGATCTAGGGGGTGCGGGTGGAGGCGATCACACCCGCAAAAATATCAAATATTATATTAAAAAAAAAATTTAAAAATTTAAAAATTTTGAGAATTTATATCCTTAAATATACTTTTACACCTCCATAATGATAATCATGGATCCGCCCTGCTTGTGCCTCTGTTTTTGTAAAACTTTCAGTGTTGATGACATTTAGCATCTCTACACTTCCCTACTAATTTTATTTTAGTTTATTTACTTCCAATTATGATAATCAACCTTACACTTTAAGTCAAATGTCACAATTTCATCCATTTACCGTTAATGACATGTGAACTAACTATAATATTTTTTCTCGTATTAACATCCCTATACTTTTATCAATGGTCCGGACTGTCTCCAGTCTACATCTGGGATAGTCCGGTCCAGTTTGGCCTATTAGACCCACTTTTGAGCTCATTTTCGATTATCAAAGCCGTTCACATTTTAATATTTGTTGAGTACATTATTTTTATAAAAAATCACATCGATCAGATAATGAATACTATCTATTCGGTTCACTTTTGTTTGGAAAAAAAATGGACGGTCAGAAAATTAACGATTTATAAAAAAAGTGATCCGAATACATAGTATTCGTTATCCGATCGACGTGATTTTTTACATGGATAATGTGCTCAAAAAATTCTAAACTATGAACGATTCAAATTATCAAAAAAGGGGCCCAAAAGTGGGCCTAATGGGCCGGACTGGACCCTCAAGTTCGGATGGTGGACTGGAGGCAAGCCCCAGCCTTTCTAAAAATAATTCATCAAACAAGTTTTCTATTTCTTTCAAAAAAAAAATTAAAATGAAACAGTACTAAACAGTTGCTAACATTATTAAAAACAAAAACAATCCTAGAGTCGCTAATTTTTTTTTTCTTTTTTAGTCTTTTAGTGCTCGTTTCACATGAAAAAGTTTGAGGCTTTTTGGTTAAAATAGTTTTAAAAAAATAAAATTGATTAAAAAGTCAATAAGACAAAATGTCACATCCAAATCA